AGCAACCACTATCTTAGCAGCTTTGCATTTGAGACTCATGAAAATGAGTACAAAATTAGAAATGTTAATGGGTTTGTGGACAAAAATCAGGAAATAAACCATTAGTGAAGGATACAGTACTAACACAGAACAGTGAATGAGAATGGAAAACAGAAAAGCACTGAAGTATTACTAAGAAAAATTAAAAAGAAATGTTGAGTTCACTAAATAGTACACATCACTAGGATAGAACAGATTGCTTGGAGCTGAGTGTTTTTAAAACACCAAATAGAGAAAATTAGAAAAAAATTGTGTGTGTTTGTGTGTGTGTTTTCTTCCCTCCCTTTCTCTTCCTTCCTTTCTTAGTATTTTGAGCACTGGTGTTAAACAATGCATAGGTGCTCCAAGCTGGTGAACTTCATATCTTAGCTCAGCCCTGAATGTTAGGATTATAGGCATGCACGACCATGCCTAGCTAAAAGTAATGTTTTTAAGTGTATATGTGTGTGGTGGGGAGGGTAGTATAGAAAAAGACATGTCCAGATTCAGAGATTCGTTAATCAGACTTAATGTTAAATTTAATTTAAACAAAGGTTTATGGATAGTATTTTCTTAAAATATTATGATAAATTTTTCCATACATTTCAACATTCTAATATTTTTTAAATGTTAGGTATTTTTCTTTTGTTTAAGATGCTTTACCTGGCTACAGTGAAACCCATCTTGGAAAACCAAAAAAAAAAAAAAAAGATAAAAAAAGATGCATTACTTCTACCATCTGTTAAGATCAATTAATTTCTGAAAAACTGAAAATCAGGCTTTATAAAGTTTCTACTTTTTGCATTCTCAAATGTTGCTTAAATTACTACTAGATTTTAGATACTACAGATCAGTTATGGACATTAGTACTCAAAATTCTTAGTTGACATTGTGAACTGTATTCAAGGTGATTTACTTGTTCATATAGCTTTGAACTTAAAAACGAACAGCTCAGCAACTTTTGAAAATAAAAAGGAGCTCTTTCCCCTTCCTCTGCTTCCTTCTTGAGATGCCTCCATGGCTGGCTCTAGCTTGTCTGAACACAAAGCGGCTTTGTTGACATCACTGATGATGCTTGTCTGCTGAGGCTACTCAGAGCTCCCAGAATCTTCTGCTGACTATCTCAAGTGTCAATGTCTGTTGCAGCTGCTCTGGAAGTCATAGGAAGACCCCAGGTTTTGCAAACTCATGGGAGAACTTCCTGGGTAAGATGGCGTTACCAGGTTTTCCAGTGGTTAAATGTGGAAGTTCTGTATCACACTGGAAGTTTACTTTCACACTGTCTCAAAAAAATAAAACACTGGAAGAAGGCTGACTGACTGTAACCCTTTCATGCTTTTAGATGAGAAGGCGTATTCATCTTTAATAAAAAGCCAGTGTGGACTGGGGATGTAACTCAGTGGGAGAGTTCTTGCGTACCAGGAACAAGACCCTGGATTCAACTCTCAGTCTGAAAACACATCTTTTTTTATGATTTATTGATGAATACATTAACATTATAAGCACATTTAGAATTCAAAGTCTAAAGAAACTGCTGGTACCTCACTTGGTAAAAATGCAGAATATTTGGGCACTGCTTATGCTTTGTTCAGTTGGTACGCTACGCTTGTGTAGAGCACCCCAGTGTCTGACATAAATGTGTGTTATTGCCTTCTTGTGTACAATGTGGAGTAAAAATATCATGTGTGAAGTTCTTTGTATTAGTTATTGAATTAATTAATTTATTGGTTTGTGTGTGTGTGTGTGTGTGTGTGTGTTAGAGCAGAGGGCAAAACACAACCTGAAAGAGTTTGTTTTCTTATTCTGCTCTGTGGTTCCTGGGAAGTGAACTCAGGTCGTCAAGCTTGGTGGCAAGTGCTCTTACTGCTAAATCATCTTTAAAAATAAAATGTTTTCAATCCGTGTATAATTTTCTTCCTTACGATTGTACATGTCTCATAAATATTTTCTAATTTTGACCCAGATACTTTTATCGTAGTCAAGGTTAAATAGAGACTACCACTGTGTCTTTATTTAAAAGAGAGATCTTACTAATTAATCTTACTAATTAATTCAGGTGGAGAGTATGTAGATGGTCATTAATCTCTTGTGCTTTGATCTAAGTAAAAACCCGTTTCCCTTTTGATCTTCTAAGTCTAAATTGGCAGGCTTTAAAAGACAGAAGGCAAAAGTTTTAAAAATTTAAGATGTAGAAACAATTTAGTTTCCCCCAGTTTTTACAATATTAGCTTGGGGATTGGAGAGACAGCTCAGTTGGTAGAGTGCTTGCCTACCATGCTTGAAGCCCTGGGTTTGGTGGTGGTGCTTTGCCTGTGAGTCAGGAAGGCCTGGAATTCAAGGCCATCCATAGCTATGCAGCAGGTTTGAATGTAGCTAGGGCTTCATGGCTCCCTGTCTGGGGGAAAAAGGAATATAAGGTGTCTTGGTTTTTAAATTGACTTCTAATCTTAATACCCTAATAATAAGGACAGTGTTGGTATGAAATAAATTCTTAAGGATGTGTCAGTACCTTTGTAACCTAGAACAGGAGCTTGACAGTTTGCTGTTGGCTGCAGAAGTTAAGTTTTTGAGGCTATAATGTATATTCAAAAGTATTACAGGTAGAGTCATTACATAACACCACCAGTTTATAACTTCTGCCTTTTTTGTACTCTGCTTTATTTGGTGACCTGTCTCCCCACTCCATCTCTGCTCAGTCATCGTCCTCCTTACCGTTGCTTTTTCTTCCCAAAGTTCTACTGTGTAGCGCAGACTGCCTTCTGACCCCTTTCTTCAGTGTCCTGTGTGCTGAGATAACAGGCACGTGCTGAGATCTTTTGTTTTTGTTATGTGATTACATTCCTTTTAAGTAATTGAACTAGCCGTGCATTTATAGAATTAGTCCCATTTGCTCATGATATATTTTGCTTTTTAGATAGGTTGAATCTGATTTTCAGTGTTATGGTAAAGAATTTTGCATCTTTGTTGTGAAGAATATTGATTATATCTTATACTATTTTTGTCTTTTCAGGGATGTGGACTGATAGGATCACTTTAAGCTTTAAAAACTTCAAAATTTAATTTCATTTTCATTGGTAGTTATAGGCTTACACAGGGTGTTTGTTTAATCTCAGATAAGTTTAAAAACTTTCTAGTTTTAGAGAAATTTCACCATTTTATATAACTTTTCAAATTTGTATACATAGAAGTGTGCATGTGATTGTCTCTTGATTATCAACACCTGAGAGATTTTAGTGACCCTACGTTTTCACTCCTGGCACTAGTCTTGGCCTGCATTCCCAGTTCACCTTTGGCAGTTGTGCCACATGCTTCCATAATTTCTAAAGAACCTGAGTTTTTATTTGTTTGTTTGTTTCTGTTTTTGAGACAGGGCCTCTATATAGCCCTGGTAGAGGCTGCCTCACTGCCCCCGGTGCTGGGGTTTAAGGTAGTTGCCACCACACACCTGGCCAAAGATTCTTGATCCCCAGTACCCATGCAAAATGTCAGGGTGTGGTGGCCCTGGGAAGGCAGAGAGAGCAGGCTATCCCTAGCCTAATTGATAAATTGCAGGGTACTGGGGATCAAAAATCAGATTCTCGTATTTTCAAGACAAATGTTTGACTGACTGAATCAGACCCCTTAGCCCCAAAATATTAAATTTTGAAAATGGTTTTAAAATAAAGAGAAAGGGAAGAAGGTAAGAATGGAATGGTAATTTTATAAGACACATCTCAATATGAATCCATCTGTACTCTAATGACATGACACATCAAGTCAGACTGCCTCAAAAGAAATGAATGCCCTTCCTGAGGTAGGCACATGTGCATCACACACATACACACTCTCTCTCTCTCTCTCTCTCTCTCTCTCTCTCTCTCTCTCTCTCACTCACTCACTCATACACACACACACACAAATTCTGAGAACTTTTGCTGTTACAGGATACTGCCTCTCAGGTCTTGGTGTCTATAATATCACTACTAGAAATACTAGAAATGTAGTTTATTCAGTGCTGAGGATCTGGCAAGTGCTTGCTAGTTTTAACTGCAATTTGTATTGCTTGTTAAGCTCTGCAAAATATACGTTCTTCAGCCCATCGTAAAGATTCTGATTGTATAAGTATGATCTATAACAAGTAGTCTAAGTGCCCCCTTTCTGTATACAGACACCCCTGCCTCAGTTCAGGTAAGTCCATGGTCATGTGAACTCCGAACATGTGTGACTGAGGAGGGCAATATTCTTGACGCTGTTGAAGTTGTGCTGCGCTTCTCCAGCTCAGTTCCTCAGCATCACCTCAGGCTCATTCTGCACTGCTTTATCTTGAGATTGTCTCTATGAATCATGAACTTTTTTTTTTTAATTAGTAAGTCAGCTTAGTAAAGACTAGAACTTAATTTACATTATGGTGTTTATGGAAAAAATATTTGTTTTTTACATTTTTTTCTCAGTACTAAAGTTGTACCGATCATAAGCTTGAACTTAGTATGTAAGTTTATATGGCACCATCTCATTAAGACATAGGTTTCTAGCTTTCTCTTATATGTCTCTCGATGTTCCTCTCAGTACCTTTGTCTGTATCTATCCTGATTTCCAGCACTGTATATCATTTGGCCTTTCTATCAGATGTCTTATGAAGAGTCATGTGATACATGATCTCATGTATCTAGTATTTAATCAAATAATTTTTGTGGCCAGGTTTTAATGAGTTTTAAAATACTATTTCTGAGTTGTTTATACTGTAAATCAAAGATGATTCAATTGAATTTTCTGGTTTTTTTTTTCTGAGTTAATTCTAAATGTTTTCAGGATGTTTTCCTATAGTCCCTTCCTAACTCTAACCATTCAGTGTTCTGCTGTTTCCTTGGTGCAGAGGTGAGAGGAACTTCTGAAATTTCATCTTTTGTTCTGTGTCAGTGTTTGAGCTAGAGGCAATTGTGGTTCAAGTGAATGCTGGAGATTTTCGTATTAATCTTTCATTTTTTACCTTTCTTTCCTGGTAGCATGATGGAAGTGGATCATTGCATGATGTTGAGCTGTCATTGCCATCCAGCCCAGAGCCAGAAGATGGAGATCAGATATATAAGGTATGGCTAGGGAGTTATGTTGAAGATTCCTAAGTTTTTACTATAAAACAATATAGTGATAACATTTTAAGTTTTGAATAAGAGAGGTATTAAGAACCAAGAGCTTTTAGCAGGTCTCAGCGACACATGCCTATAGATCTCATCAATCACTAAGCTGATTTGAAAGTCTACCTGTGCTACACAGTGGGTTCAAGGCCAGCTCTTGCAGTGTTGTAAGATACTGCCACAAAAATGTCTAAGAGTGAAGCTCATTGGCCAAATACTTGTTTAACATCCATAGGTTGTGAGTCAGATCAATTCCTACTACAGAAAACAGGTCAACGTAGAGCTTTGCATTCTGAGAAAACAATCAGATTTTCTCCAAATCTTTGCTACTGAATGAAACTAAAATGTTAACCCTGTGAGGCTGCGGGACAATGGTCTTGTACCTTGTAAATATTTGTCACTTGTATGGATTAATAAAATGCTGATTGGCCAGTAGCCAGGCAGGAAGTATAGGCGGGACAACCAGAATAGGAGCATTCTGGGAAGAGGAAAGGCTCAATGTGTAGGCATCACCCAGACACATAGGAAGCATAATGAGAATGCCTCACTGATAAAAGGTACCAAGCCACATGACTAACACAGACAAGAATTATGAATTAATGTAGGATGTAAGAGTTTATAAGAAGCCTGAGCTAATAGACCAACCAGTTTATAACTAACATAGGCCTCTATGTGTTTCTTGGAACTGAATAGCTGCAGGACCGGGTGTGACAGAAACCTCTGCCAACACTATGATACTTAAATTTAAATTATCCCTTGTCAGTTGGAAAGTAATTTGCCCCCGTATTGCTACTGTTGCTTATAACAGTGAATGATAATTCTCAAAATAAGGTTTCCAATAAAATTAGAATGGTGGAGGCACTTCATATATTCATAGAATTGATGAAATATTTCGCTAATGTGTTTACTCTTTCTATGTTTGAAAATCTAATTATAGAATCTGCATGTTTTAATAATTAACTGGAAATATTTATAATTCTCATGATCTATAGATTTTAGTGGATAGCTTTTACAACTATTTCTCAGACATACACGGAAATTCTTGATTCATTTAATATTTCCAAGATAAGGCATTTACATCCCATTCCAAGCTGTAATTGCCCATGTTTGCTAGTCATTGCAATAACAGATAATCTCTGAACATTAGTGACCTAACATAATGCTGAGTCTCACTTAATTGTACATGGTCTGTATATCGGCTGAAATTCTGTTTCACTGGTCTTCAATGGAAGAGCCAAACTGAGTGATCAGCTCTGTGGTATGACACAAGCAATGTCATATAAAGAAAGAAGAACTTTGAGAAATTCTTATGAATTCTGTGACAAATACTGCTTCCTCATGATTTAGGTGGCCTAGGCTGAAATACTGGACAGGGAAGCATAGGCTGCTTATAGATGTCTGAGTAATTCACCAAGAACCAGACAAAATGTGAAGCGATCATAATCCTAAGAATATAGCACAGTAGTTACATTGGGCTGCCAATCTGCCTTTTCCATTGGTGTCTACCTGTCATTGCTCAGTCACTTCCGGCTGTGGGTTTGCACATGACTGGTAGTGAAGTAGTGTTCTATATCAGCAGATCTGCAGAAGATTGTGGCTTATTTAGAAAACCGTCTCATGTTTGCAGTTTAAAACCAGTGATTTAGATGACCCCAGAGAGTATCTAAATTTTCTTCAGCTTTCTGACTGACATTTTTTTCTCACAGATTAAACATTTTCTCAGATTTTATCAGATTTTGTAGAAAGAATTAATTTTGAGACAAGGCCTTCTGTCGTCCAGAATGCTGTGTAGCATGTTGTGTTGCTGATGCTAGCCATGAACTCCAGATCTTTCTGCTCTTACCTGTGAATTATAAGGATGCACCACTACACAAGCTCAAGAATTTGATGTGAAGAGAGAAAACTAATTTCAGCTTTTTACATTGTTCTGTTATCCCTGTTTCTCATTTCTAATTTGTCCATATGTTTAGTATTACATGATAGACACATTAACAATTGATGTTAATTCATGTTCCTATTCCCTTTGTGTCTAGGTAAAACATTTATCGCTTACATATTTAAGCTGCGATACAGAAGTTTATTGTGTCCTGAATTCTCCATTTCTTCTGATTAATAACCATTTGTCATGTCACTTAAGCTAAAACACAGATTTGGGTTCTTCCACTTGATATAAATTATCAGCTCTCCTCAAGGCTGTGATCTCTTTATTGGTTCAGGCTTCTGTTCTCATCTGGAGTATCACAAAGCCTTGGATGCAGTTCCTAACCTAGTTTGTCATTGTTAAAGTTTTCCTCTAAACTCTCCAAGCCATTTCAAGTTCGAATCTATCATCCCCTGGCTAAGGCCATGCTTGCCAGCCATGGTCCTCTCTGATGGTGGCCATTGCCTAATTTCTTAGCTAAAATTACTTCTTATTTTTTACTATAGCATGTGTGTGGCAGAACCACTGTATGTATTTCTCTGTGCTGTGCTTGTTCTCACTTTTTTATTGTGTGGTACTTTGAGTATTATATGGGAATCAATGTTTACAATATTTCTACCTTCAGACCTCTTACTCATTTTCGAGACTTTCTTGGAGTCTTTTTCCTGACGAGCATATTTTTTTTCCTGTTGTCTTAGTTAGGGTTTCTGTTGCTGTGATGAAAACACCATGACCAAAAAGCAAGTTGGGGATGAAAGGGTTTATTTGGCTTACGCTTCAGCTTTGCTGTTCATTACTGAAGGAAGTCAGGGCAGGATCCTGGAGGCAGGAGCTGATGCACAGGCCATGGAGGGGAACTGCTTACTGACTTGTTTCCCATGACTTGCTCAGCCTACCTTGTTATAGAACCAAGGACCAGCAGCCCAGGATAGCATCACCCACAATGAGCTGGGCCCTCCCCCACTGATCACTCAGTGAGAAAATGCCCTCTAGTGGATCTCAGGGAGGCATTTCCTTGCCTGAGGCTCTTTCCTCTGATGATTCTAGCTGTGTCAGGTTGACACACAGAACCACTCAGTATACCTGTGATGTCAAGTGTCAGTCCACAGAGTAGTGCCTATTGTCCTGCTGTGTACCTCACCTGAATGTCACCTGGGACACATTTTCTTTAACACTGTAGAAAACAGTCATATCTATATAAATAGTGGTTTCACAGTGTCCCAACAAGTTGTTTGTCATGTTTTATTTGGAAAACAAATTGTTAACTTGTAAATGTCCAAACAGTACCTTGACTGCTAGGTCTGATACACCAGTTTTGAATAATCTTAATTATATTGGATATGTTCCTGCTCATCAGTGTCTGTAAAACAGTGCTTAGTATTTTCTGTTTCACCGACAGTTGCCACTTACGTGATAGTGAGATTTGGCAAGCTTTTTTGTTGGGGCTTTGAATGTGGTCTCATACTGCCCTTGACATGTAGTAAATCCTTCATCATGACTTCACTTCACTGTTAGTGATATGTATGGTTTAGGATTTTTTTTTTATTAAATTATAAAAGTTTCCATTTCAGCCCCTCCTCCCAACACCCTCCCACTCCCCCCACTCCCTCTCCTTCTCCCTCTCTCTCCCCTAGAGCAGTCAGGGTTTCCTGCCCTGTGGGAAGTTCAAGTTCCTCCCCCCTCCCTCCAGGTCCAGGAAAGGTGAGAGTCCAAACAGACTGGAGCGCCAAAATCTATTATATGCAGAGGAAGCAAGTCCCAGTGTCATTGTCAATGGCTTTTCATAAAGGCTCCGGGTCAGCCACATTCAGAGAATCTGGTTGGATCACGTCCTCGTTCAGTCCCAGTCCAACAGGTCTTGGTGAATTCTCATTATATCAGTTCCCTTGTATCAGTGGGTGCTCGCATCCCTCGCAGTCCTGATTACTTTTTTAATTTTCTTCATCTTTCTGTTCCTCATTTGGACCGTGGAGTGCTCAGTTCGGTGTTCCAAAATGGGTCTCCATCTGTATCGCCATCCAACATCGGATGAAGGTTTCCTCTGCCCTTGCCTTCTTTGCTCACGTTCTCTTTCCTTCTGCCTCTTATTTGGACCTAGGGAGCTAGGTCCAGTGTTCCAACGTGGTTCTCCGCCTCCATCTCCATCCATCGCCAGATGAGGGTTCTATGGTGACATGCAAAATATTCATCAGTATGGTTGTGGGCCAAGGCCGGTTCAGGCACCCTCTCCTCTGTCCAGAGAACCATCTGGGGATCTCTCCTTGGACCGGGGATCCCCTTTATAATCAAGTCTCTTGTAAACCCTAAAATGATTCCCTTAGTTGAGGTATATACTTGCCTGATCCCATATCCATCCTTCCTCCCTCCCCCCCATCCCAGTCCCCCGATCTTTCCCCAATCCTCCCCTACTCCCTTCTCTCTAACCCTCTCCCTTTCCGACAACCCCCCCCCCCCCCCCCCATGCACCCGAGGTTACCTGGGACTCTTGTCTGTTTCCTACCTCCTGGCGGATAGCAAAATAATCTTCATCAGGTTCATCTTCTTATTTAGCTTCTCTAGGATCACGAATAATAGGCTCAAAGACCTTTAATTATGGTTAGAATCCACTTATGAGTGAATACATACCATGTTCCTCTTTTTGGGTCTGGCTTACCTCACTCAGTAAAGCGTTTTCTATTTCCATCCATTTGCATGCAAAATTCAAGATGTCATTGTTTTTTACCGCTGAGTAAAACTCTAATGTGTATATGTTCCACACCTTTTTTAACCATTCTTCTATTGAGGGGCACCTAGGCTGTTTCCAGGTTCTGGCTATTACAAATAGTGCTGCTATGAACATAGTCGAACAAATGCTTTTGTAGTATGTTAAGGAATCTCTAGGGTATATTCCCAAGAGTGGAATTGCTGGGTCCTGAGGGAGGTTGACTCCCAGTTTCCTGAGAAACCGCCACACTGATTTCCACAGTGGCTGCACAAGTTTGCATTCCCACCAACAATGGATGAGTGTTCCCCTCATTCCACATCCTCTCCAGCA